TATAACAGAAAAGGATTTTGGAGGAGTCTGGGAAGTGGCTTGGTTCTTGTAGAAAGAGCAGGGAAATAAAGAAAAAGAATACTAACTTGCTGGGTGAGGCCAATGTGCCATGGTAGAGTTTGCATAGCCTGCCTTCCCACCATACCCCTGGCCCTTCTCTGAAGAGGAACAATCCTCACATCCTAGAGATATCAAAGCAAGACAAGGTGAGAACCCAATCAGAGTCCTCAGGGCCAAGGGCCAAACACCCCAGGGGCTACAATATGAAAGGAGGGAGCACAATGAGGTGCCCTTGGGAATTGTCCTATCTTGTCTGGGGTTGAGAAGATAGAAGACCTGTATTTTAACAGGGAGGGCCTTGGAGTATTCGGAAAGTTATGAAGGACCTATATGGACTGCTCCTTACAACTGAACTTGACTGGAGGCCTAGGGCTCCTCTGGCCCAGACATTGGCCAGTTCCCAAACAAGTAGGCATTTTTTTGCCTCTCAGTCATGCTGGCCTAGAAGAGAGTCATGGAGTGGCTGGGGCCAGGGTTGGAGGTGATACTTTACCACCCCCAACTCTCTCAATCACATCTTAGATATATAGCACCAAAGTAACAGACTCACAATTAAGGGTGGACTTGGGGGTATATGGGCAAATGTGGTTGCAGTTTCCAGGCAGAAAGCCCACATACCCCTGCTTCTGCCCTTGCCTGCAGAAAAGCCCCACATCCTGCACTCTCCCAGAGAGCAGTGCAACACTAATGTCACAACATAATTTGCCATCTCATTCATGCTCCCAGGAGCCCCCTAGCTGCAGATCTCAGGCCAGGTGGCTGGTCTAATGCCCCCAGCAAGGTGGAGGTCAGGCCTGGACTACCCCATGCCTCACATAACCCAGCGGGCACTTTCCCACATCACCCTGCTCCACTCAGGCTTCCTGTATGCACTGGGCCCACCAGCACTTCTCACTCACCCAGAACCCTGAGGCTCCCAACATGGCAGGCTGAGAGGTGGGTAGGTAGGTCCACCCAAGTCAGAGGCTCAGTTTCTCTTTGTCCCCCACCCTGCTATCTCACCCTGCTTCCCTGATTTTGGTCTGCCTGGCTCAGGGAACTTTGATTACGAAAGACCTTGCCATAGCCCATGCTCTCTTCTGGGCTGGGACAGGGTCTACTGTCCACCCATCTGTTGGTCTGACAATTGGTTGATCAGTCATGCAGCAGCCCTGCAGAAGTTGGCTAGGGCTGTCTCACATCCATCCCTGAAGTGGCTGCTGGCCCTGGTCAGCGCTGGTCTTGAGTTTTTTTCCTCCCCGTATCTGTCCCAGTGACCTGCCTTAAGCCTCCTGTGACAGAGGCTAGCCATATTCTAAGGCCCAGCCTCCCCCAGTGCCTATTATAAGAGCACCACCACACAGTTGACCATAGTAAGGCAGGAAGCCCATCTGGATTCCACACACAGCTTTCCCTCTGGGATTTAGCTGGTCTGACCCTACTATGCCATCCTCCCATACCTGGGCTGCTCAATGGCCCTCCACCCCAGCACCATGGCCATGGCATAGACCTCCATCCTTGAGTTTGGCTGGGACTAGCAACACTGCATGGACACTGCTCACAGAGCACTGGTTCCTGAGGAGAATAACAAGGGCTCTGCAGAAAATTAAGTGAAGGGGAAAAGCAGATTCCATCACCAATACATCTGGGACTGCTGGGTTTGCTGAGGTTGAGCCAGTTTCTTTCTGCTGACTTTCCATAATCTAAAAAAGGAGTCTAATACTCCCTGCAGATCTCCGAGAGGTCTGTGGGAGTTGCCATTGTTCCCAAACTAATTTGGTCTGGGAACCCTTCTAGGAGATACAGCCCTTGGGCTCAGTGTTTCTAGCTTTGTGAATTGTGTTAAAGGTCACACAGTCACAGCTCCTCAAAGAGACTCAGCTGCTGACCAAGCCTCCCTGTGTTTCCAGCCTACCCCTGGGACCGGTCCAGTCTGAAATCCATGGCCCTGGACCTACGGCAGTTTGAGAAACTGGACACCTATGCCTCACAGGTATGAGAGCTGGCCCCTCTAGCCTTGGGTTTCCCATGGAGTTCCCTAGTCCAAGGCAGCAAAGCCTCTCTCCTTTCTCCTTTCTGAACATGGCCTAGGAGTGCCTTGATATAGCATGTAGATGGAAAGCAGAAGGCCTTAGGCAGCAGGCTCCCACCCAGGACCCCCGGCCACTCCATCCCCCACCCCACCCATGGTTCTGATGTTGCCACCCCAGGCTGCACACCTGGACCTCCTCCTGACAGATGCAGTTGCCAACTGGGCCTGCCCTTCCCCTTCCCACCTTGGGCACTGCTGCTGCTGAGCCATGCCACCCACAGCTGGTGGAGGAAGGGAGGGAGAGGAGGACCATGGATACAGGCAGCCACTATGACCATGCTCACCTCTGAAGGGTGTAAGCTACTAGGCTCCCATGCCTCTGGCCTGGGCTGCCAGGCGTGAGTTGGGAGGGCAGCTGAAGAGCTAAGCACTTGGTGGACATGGGAGCCCTGGGGCCAGGCAGGAGCTCAGGTCAAAGTCTGATCAGAGGACTCTGGACTCTTTTCTAAAGTCAGAGTGTGCTCTCCCAGATACTAAGTGGTCTTAGAAAGATGACCTGTGGGTGGCACCTAGTAGGTGCTCAGGAACCTTGTGGAGATGATGAGTGGATGGATAGGTTCCTGGCTAAAGAAAGTCAGGCTAGAGGCAGGGACATCAGTCAGGAGCATCCAGCTGTCCTGGCAGAAGACGTGACTCAGATTAAGCAGGGACAGAGAACAGGGAGGAGCAGAAAGGCCAATCCTGGGCTGGAAGCAGAGGGGAAGGCCCCTATCCCCAGTGTGTATAGAGTAGGTGGGAGATGCAGGAGGCTCCCAGATGGCTTGGTTGAGTTGTAGGGGAGGCCAGGGAGTGCCTCACCATAAGGAACAGGTTTGGGGGGATGATGAGTATGCTTGAGGTGTGAGAAGCTCTAGCAATTGTGGCATATCCAGGGGAAATGCCCACCTGTCCACTGTACGTGTGAGCCTGGAGAAATCTGGGCAGGAAACACTAACTGGGAGTCACCATATTCAGTAAAAAGCTGAAACCATAGAGTAGGATTGTATTGGGGAGGGTGATGGGAACCCATATGGCCTAGAGCCACCAGAGTCTGGGACAAGGTGAGGACAGGTCCTGGAAGGTTGGGAGTTGGGGGCGCTCACCAGGGCATGCTTAGGCACCAGCAAGAGCCATGCCCTCTGGTCAAGTGAGATCAGGACAGACTCCTTTCTGCTACTTTAGCAGCACAGCACCTCTGGCCTCTGGAGGGGCAGCTCAGAGGAGGCTGGAGGATCAGCCAAACTATAGTGGGCAAGTAGGAGGGAGGAGTAGGGAGTACAGAGGACCCCCACAGGGCCTACAGAAGGGGCACTGGAGTGGGCAGGGGTGAGAAGGAGATAGAGCAGGGAGCATGGGGCAGCAAGCAAAGAAGGGGAGGAGGACAGGATGCAGGAGAGGCAGGAGCCCTGGACCAAAGCTGATGCACTCATGCCTGCAGCAGGAGGGAGAATGAGGGCTCATGAGTGGCTTCTGAAAGTGAGGAGTGCGGGAGGGTCCAGAGTCTGCAACGAGTAGGGTACTTTGTAAAGGCCATCAGAAGGGGTGAGACAGGCTGAGGGCCAGGCTCAGAAAGTGGTGCCAGGAGCCCAACAAAGGCCAGAGACCCAGCCACAGAGCAGAGGTGGACAGCTTGGGGGTGCCAGGAGGAAGCCATGGTGCCAGGACTCCAGGCTGAGGTACAGGTCTACAATTCTAAGGGCACCATTATAGGCCCTGGGAGAAGGACCAGGAAGAGACTGTGGAGCTGGACACAAAAGAAGATGAAGTAGGAGGCATCTGGGAGAGTGGGTAA